AAAAGTTTGGAAATTTTACCTCTTCCCTCTAACCCTTGGGAACCATGTCCTTAGATAGACTCATGCTGGAAAAAACTGAGTGAGTGAGTGAGTGTGAGAGAGAAAGAGTGTGTGTGTGTTCGTTCATTGTTACACGTTTTCCTCCCTACTCCCCAACTTTAACATTTTTAATGAGTCAATATCAGAGTTAGATTACAGTGTTTGAGAGGAAGACTTTCGTTTGTTCTTATTAACAGTTTATTCATGGAGGACATACTGCCAAGATATCAGATTTTAGTTGGAACCCCAATGAGCCTTGGGTTATTTGCTCCGTGTCTGAGGACAACATCATGCAAATATGGCAAATGGTGAGCTACAGCAAACCCCCGCTCCACAAAGGAGACATTTCCTAGTGATGTAGCAGGGACTTTTCAAATATTTAGAAAGGAGACAGTTTGGGGCAGCACAGTCTTAAACTTGAGTTCAGTAGGAGGGCTTGACCCCAGCTCCCACCTGCGGGCAGGGTGATCTCTAGTCTGTAAGTGTGCACATCCTCGTTATAGGCACTGCTCTCAGTGAGTGCCTGGCTGCAGTCTTATCACCACCACAAGGGATGCTGGGGGACACATGGAGACAGGCAATGGGGGGGGGGTCATGACAGTGATGAGCACCAAGTGCTTGCCTTTCAAAGGGCTTTGGTTGCTAGTCAACCCTTTGAGCAATATCACTCCTCTGATCCTTGCACATACTCTTAGGAAGTTTGATGGATAATTGAAAATGACAGTGTGTGGGTATCATAGGTGTCTTTGTGGAGCCACATGCTTGCAAGTAATTTTGGACAGTACTGCCCTATATTGTTTGATTATTAAATAAACTATTGGCATTTAGGGAGCAACAACCCAAAGGAAACGGTAAGTAAATAACTCTCAAAGTGTGTCCATAGCTCACTGCTCATAGGGAAGTGGAGTGCTCAGATCTGGTCAGACAGAATTCTGAAATGCTATTTTTCTGAAAACCATGGGATTGTTAACTATTTACTTATTTGGTTGTTATCTCCAGGCTGAAAACATTTACAATGATGAAGAGTCGGATGTGACAACATCGGAACTGGAGGGGCAAGGATCTTAAACCCAAAGTCCAAGAGACCTGTCTGTTGAATGCTTGCCTTCTTGAGCGCCGTCTACAGCATTGTATAGTAGGAAGCCTGATTGGGTGGCATGGCATTCTTTACCCCTGAGTCTAGCACTTTCAAGTGAGCTATTGCGTTCTGTATCATATTGTAGCTATTAGGAAAGAAAGGAATGCTGCTTATGAAAGCGCATCCAATTTGTTTAAGATACAAGTAGCAGGGTACTGCCTTTGATTCCATTGTTTTAAGTCCTCGTTTTCTCAAACTAAGTGCTTGCTGTTCCCAAATATGCAAAAATAACTTTTACACTTTCCTCTCCAATACTTCTTGATTGGCTTTGCAGAAATAAAGTTTTAAAATTAATTTTGTTCTATTCTTTGAGGAGCATGTTACATGCCAACATCCCGTTTGTTGGGTGGAAATGGGTAAAATTAAACTTTTTCTGCTGTAAAGTATATATACATTGAAAATGTGCTAACTCAATACAGGGGAGAGGGGCTAGGTGCCTACTTTTTGGTTGCTAGGTTTGCATACCTGTAACAACCTTGGAATTGCAGGCCAGGGGAACATGGTGGGGAAAGCCTGGAACTTGGAATCCGACAGATTATATAAACTTCAGATCCCAGGCTCCTAGGAGCACTGGCAGCACCGTCTTGCCCTAGGGATTTGCTCTGCTAACCCAAAGGGCACACCTCTGTCAGACGGAATTCATAAGCAACCTCCCCTTGGGGAAAGGGCAGTTCACTCTTATGCAGTTTACAGCCTCAGAAAATCTCCTAGAGGTTCAGCTAGGAGTCCATTCCACTTAAAAGACAGTTTGTGAGCTTTTAACTTCACATTTGACCCATATCTTGTCTTGAAGCAGTTTTAAGCAAATTTCCACTTTCCCCCCCCCCAAAAAAAAAAATTATGGTTTCCTTTCTCTTCCTCCTGTAGAGGTTTCAGTAGAGGGGACATGCCCATCTGCATTATGGCCCCTTGCCAGCTGGAAATGGTTTTTTTAAAGGGCCATTTAACAAATACATGTAGGACTTCTGCTTTAAAAATTTTTATTCCACTCTTGTATTAGACATGTTTTATTCAAGTATCCCTGGTTATCCAAATAGATTTAGGGCGTGCTGCAGACAACATAAGCCTTATAGCTTTTAGAAGGCTGGGCCACGATCTCACCACACCATTGGAGTCCTGTGCTTCCCTCAGCACCAGAAACCTGGGCCAACAGAGGGTGAACTGCAGAAAGCAAGGGGAGAGTTGGCTTATCCAGTAATCACACTGAAACCTGAGAAAGCAATGATCTGCCTCTCTCTGTACTTGCTTTAGCTTGTAAATTTAAGGACACCGGGGTAACAGAATACACGGAAGCTGTTAAATTTATCATACATATTTACTTAAGCTATACAGAATTGAGTAGATAAAATCAGATTCACATTAGTGAAAAATCTCTACAAAATGTCTTTGAAAAGCAAAACAGGGCTGCCTCTTAACAATTTGTATCATGAAAGACATGGGCTGTAAAAATAAAGCAGTGTGTATAGCACAAACTAGAAGATATCTGCATTTTTTTTTTCACAGTTCTTACCATCTACAGTCTGAAAGAGGTAGATTTTTCTGCAACACCTGAGAACTGAATCGTGATGTCCAGGTGTCGTAAAGGCAGTTGCATACAGAACAAAAAATACTGGTCACGAGACCAAGAAATGTATTCCTACAGTTGGAGGATGAAATGGTCCATTATCCAAGACACCAACTTTATTAGACACCTTGGTGTCCACTGCCACTATAAATAGTACAAATCAAGTTTCCATGAGGGTGCAACAAATGCAATTTGAAGTGAGTGAACATCAAACCTTTTCCGAGTCAGCTTGGTAGCATTACAGTGTTCTAGAGTACGGCAGGTAACAGGACTTAGTACAAAGCAACAACACTGGGCTTGGTGAGGTGATTGATTGGGGTGTCCTTCTCAAAGGGTCCCAGTTTGTTTTTCTTCACGAATGGGAAGAAAGCTCTAAAAGGAAACCAAAGGCATCCCAGGTAAAATGCATGTCCCTTAAACACCATGACAGCATCTAGTTACAAATACATAGTAAGCCGGAAGCAGCAGGCCAAGTACTGTTAACCACATTGCTTTATAAAGCCCTTGAAAATACACAACAGGTCCAAGATTTACAGTCATCCACACAGAACAAGTACCACAGCAATGTGGGTGGGCTACAAACTGGCTGAGTAGAATGTTACAGACTGTACATATGGCAGAGTTCTTGTGAAATGTGATTAGCTCTAATTTATAAGGTAGATAATATTTGATATATACCCTCATTAAAGAGTCCCATATTTCCTTTAGTAGCTGAAGGAGTATTTATAAGAGGGTGTGGGGAACGTGGTTGGTTTCGCATCTGCCTTACGACGGTAAGCGGGTAACCTGCTTTGTTGGTATCTTGTCCTCCCGGGCTGACACATGGTGAAGATGGTGTATGGCGGACGCTTACATGTAATGCTCCGCTCCAGGTAATGTTGCCCATAGATTTTCAGTTCTTTCAGCTCAGTTTAGAACATGAATGTGACAGGACAAGTACAACAGAGGAAAAACTCCATGAGATGGACAGTGGAAAAGTTTGTTCAATCCAGGAAACAACTGAAGTGTCATTTTGATAGTTTTGCTAGGTGGAATGTCTAGTAGAGCTTCCCCTGCCCCCCTAAACATTTCAATACATAATACACCAGAAACCGAGAACTTTCATGGGTGCACCATCATTAATCATTTGCATAATCGAGCCACATGTGACATGGGAGGGAATGGTGTATAAATTGTGTGCTTTAATTTAGAAATTTGCCCCATTCCAAGTGTAGAGACCAGAATACTGGCGAGGTTCTTTTTAAGAAGAGAAAACACCATTACGTACAGGGTGGGAAAACAGGCTGAGAATCTAACCTGTAGATACACCACTTCACACTCTGTCCAGTTTCCCCCCAAAAAAACGTTCCAGATGAAATAGGGTGATACATGATGAAAACGTGTTTTTAAATCCTGGGGTACTTGGGTGGTAGGACCCTCCTTGAATGTTCCAGACATTCTATAACAACCTCCAAGTGGCCCAGGAGGCAGCAGAAGAGCTGCTGCTAACGGAAAGCACCCTCTGAGTTGACCCTCATCCTAAACTCATGTATGCTGTGGAGGATGTCTGTATTCAAGTTGAATACGTAATTGCCCTTCTGGCAGCACAGATCCACACACCTTTTTGCACCTGAAAGCCAAGTGCAGTGATCAGCCTGTGAGCACACACTGCTTGCTTCCTAAGACATCACCACATACAGAGGCCGCCACAGCTTTGAATGCTCTGGATTTGGGGTGCTCTCATTTTCTCAAGTGATACTAACAAAAAGCCAATTTCAAGCAAACAAATACTTGCTTGCCTCTGATCCAGCTAGAGTTTTACTCTTTCTTGGCATTTTAATGAGCTATTCAGACATAATTAAATCATATTTTGGGGTGGGGTTTTTTTTTAAATCCTATTAAGGGGAGCCTGGACATTTGCTACTCTTACTGTTTTCCTATCAATGAGCCTTCATCAGAACAGAGGGGAGTAATAGGGGGTAGCCTGGTCCTGGCTGGAATTTTAATAATGATGATTATGTGTAGGGAGCAGGCAACGAACACATGCATTCCTAGGAAGGGTAGGGAAAATGGGGCCAATGTGCAACTCAGCTGACGAAAGGCTTATTCAGACGACTCCAAAATTAATAAGCCGCTTCCTATACCACCACATAAGTCCAGTAGTTCTAAGAAAATACAGATATGGTAGAAAAAGTAAGAAAGTTTTCACCACAAAACCAATAGTTACTACTAACAGAAAGGTATACACAAAATAGATCTCTCAATACAGTGATCACACATTTAGTCAGCGGTATCAACGCCTGCAACTGTGCCAGCGGGGAGGGTCTCTATGCCAGCCTCAGGCTCCGCCGCCCCAGGGCCTCTAGGAGCACCACCAGCAGACAAGCTTGACTCCTTGTGGGACTCCAGGGCAGCACAGGCCTGTGACACTGGCACCAAGTCCATGTCAGCTGCTCGCACTGAGACCTGCTCCTTGAGGACTGCTACCTTCTCATTGAGCTCATTTCGTTCAGTCTGAAGAGCTCGGCACAGCTTCTCTAACCGTTCCAGTTTTATTTGAAAGGCTTTATATTCTTTGTCACGGACTGTTTTCTGTAATTGGCAGGGAGGAAGAGAAAAAGGAAAAAAGTTATATGGCCTCGTAAAATGAAATCTGAGCTGTGTTGAAAACTACCTCTGGTAGTTCAAAATTTAAAAACATCTCCAAGTATTATAACATCTTTGCTGATATTTAACATAGTAAAGAAACCCAACTCATGTTTTAGGATAATTACGTTCCAAAAATGGAAGGTGATTACATCATTACATAATTGTCAAATTCTGTTATTAACTGTATAACTACAACTGCCAAACCACTGAGAATTCACAGCACAACCAGGTTAAAAGAATCATAACCAACACAGCCTCGTTAACACTTGGTTCGCACCTCTGCTTTTGTTATTTATGTTGTTACTGTGCAAATAGTGGATGTCAGATGTTCTTACTGTGTCATAAATGCACAATTTTAGAAATCAAGAGTTTAGATGTGAGTAATAAGCGTACAGTTCAAGGGCAACACAAATTCCCTGACATGTTTCTTTAAAAAGAACCAAACCCCACTTAGCTTTGTTGAAAATGCTTTATATTGGTAAAATATAAAAGAAATTCAAGAAGTTAGTCACAAAAAAATACAAAAAACTTAAAAGGGAAAAAAGGCAGCTAAATAAAAAGCAAATCACCCACTTCTGTGTGGAATCTGCTCCAGTTTTGAGGTGAGAGCAAAATTAATACAGACATATGCCCCTCCATTCTCTCATGAAAAGTTTGAAACAAGTTCTAGTGAATGTGAAATTCAGTGATTGCAAAAGTAATTACATTTAGGTTTTGTAGTTAAGAGAAGGGCAAAAAGCATCTTGTTGCCCTGTTTTAAAAGCTAGGATGCATTTGACAAAGCTAGGTAGCACTGAGTGCCATGTTCTGGAACATTCGTCCTCTAAATCTCCAGGTGTGAGACTTGCCCTAGTAAGCTGCCATCTGATGGAAGTTTGAGAAACCACTGCTATGGATGATCTCAAAGCCTGTCTCCCACCCAAGCCTCAGCTTGGTTAAGTAAGCAAGTCTTCTAACTAGGAGGTTCTCCTTCAGCCCCCCAGCTCAGAATTTCCCTTCTGACCTCCAGACAGCTCACTAACCCACAGGTTCCTGGACCCAAGGAGCCCTGGCTAATACACTTCCCTCACAGATGACCACCTCACCTCTTCGGCCATTTGCAGAAGTGCTTTATTATTGTTTTCCCATTTGGTACGCCACACTAGTGTTTCTTTTTCCAGTTTTTTTATTTTCTTTGTCATCTGTGAATCAACAGAATAGCAAATTTAAATTCCGAGTTGCATCTCTCAGTTCTATACGTCCCACCACAAGACAAGAATTTTATGTGTGCCGCTCTCCCTGTTCTCCCCGCCCCACCCAGCTGACAGCTATGGAGTCTTCTAAAAGGAGCCGCTCTCAGAAGTTCCAGCAAGACCCAAAGAGAGGTTCCTACTGGGACAAAACCAAAGTTGATTTCTACTGCAGGGGAACAAGCAGCAAGGCCTCCACCACCTTTGGTTGAATAGGGGTGTGTGGGGAGTCCACACTTGTGTGTTTTCTGGAGATGGTCCATTAAACTCATCCATTAGATTCTTGGATCTTGGGGACAGCTGGCCCTCAAAAAATAACAGAACCTCCATGCGCAAACCCTCTTCCGAACTGTTGTCTGTTAGGTGTTGTCGAGTATGACTCACAGCAACCCTGTGAACACAAGATCTGAACTCTGCTCTATCCTGTGCCATCCTCACATATCCAACTGGTTGAGGGTCTTCCTCTCCTTCGCCAACCCTCCATGATTCTCCGCATTAGGGGCACCATAATTTGGTTAAGACTCGTGACCAGAAAAAAAGTGTTTCATCCTCATAACTTGTAAGATCATCTGACTTAGGATTCCACCAACTATAAAATTAGTTCAAAAATAAGGGGAGACCTATTACACCTAGGCCACATGAACCTAACTGTCAGAAATTTTGCATCTGATGCCCTTCAACCAGCCATCTGTTCAATATTTGTATTCACTCTTGGCCATTCAAAGAGGGAGCAGTGAACCAGGTACCATAAGACAGGGCCACCAGCCTGGCCACCTCCACACAGTGGTTAACACCACAAGGCAGGATGGGACAAGGCTGTGGAGAGCACGGGGGAGACCAGGCTGCATGCTGACCCACAGTGATCTCTGGCCACCAGCAGAGGACACGTTCCAGTGCACAGGATTCTCTGGAGGAGAGCTAATTTGGGAGTCTGTCTGCAGCTCTGTTCTGGCTCGATAAGCAAGCATGTGCTGGAGTCCAGCTCACACTTCCACCATCCCTGACACTGGATCAGGCCCTCAATAGAGGACGCGGGGGTGGGGGGGAGCCTCTGCTGCTCATGGTATTCTCCAGATTACTAGGTCTAAAAATACCTGAAGGTGGTAATTTGAGCACTTGGCATGTGCCAAGCACTGTTTGAAATATTCTGTTTTATGAAGAGTAGCTGTTTTGTTGTCTCCATTTTTAATGGTCAAGGACTAGAAAGCCATACAACTTGTCCAAAATTAATGGATTAAATGATGCAACCGGGATAGTAACTCAGGACTCTTGAGTGTAAAGCACGTACCGCCAGCTGCTCCACAAGGGCTAATAAATAATACAAGTGACAGCAGCAGGGTGCCTGGCAAGTGCCAGGCACTACTGTACTCATCCCTAACCTCCACCATGTCTAAAATTCCCCATTTTAAGGGCAGATGGTAAATTAAATAAGCATGAAAAGAGGGATGAATTGTGCAACAATGAATAAATTTTTTTAAAGAGAAAAAAGCGAACAGGGGAGAGGGAGGGAGGACAATGTGCAACAATGAATGAATGGAAATCCAAGTTTTCTGTAAACTTTCATTAAAAATCACAATGAAAAATTATTTTTAAAAAGATATTGTATCCCCCCTAAAAAAGATATTGAATTCCCCCCAAAAATATATTCAATCCCCTCCCCCCCAAAAAAGAGGGGAATGAGTGGCTATGTAATTCTTTTGGTTGATATGTATGTATGTGTTAGCCCACTTAGATGTCTTCAGATCATTTAACTGCCAAGGGCAAAGTCTCTGTCCAAGATTGAGGAGTAGTGAACTGAAGTGACTAAATGATTCAAAACAACAAAACCTCACAAGCCACCAACAAAAAAGAAAACACTTTATTTTGACCACAAGTTTTATTTCATAAAGGAACTTAGGGTAAGATGCAGATGTCGATGGGAAGAGCGGAAGGTGAAATAAAGACTGCATCAGAACAAAAGAAGATAGAGCATCCAATAATCATGTGTAACAGGAGTGCCTCTACTCTGTTTGCCCATGAAACAATCAGGCCGAAAAGAGTTTTTATACAGAAATCCCCTATCATGTAATATTTACTAAAAATATGCAAGTACAAGCAAGCCGACATAAAGTAAAAATTTTTTTTAAAAATTGCAAGTACCTTTTCCATTTCCTGCCTGAAGGTTGTAAAAAGTTCATTGCTTTTTGCCATGGTCGTCTGGAATTCTTCAAACTTATCCATATAAAGAGAAAGCTACAGGAGAAAATAGGAAATAATTCTAAGTTTCAGATAAGCAATTTTAAATCTCAACATGTTGTAAGGAACACAGTGTGGTTAAATGTTGTTATAAGTGATAGAAATAAGACCAAGAGCACACTCCATCTGTCAGCAAAGATGGCTAGGGTCTTACAACCTGCAGAAACGCATTTAAACTTAAGATACATCGCCGGCATAACCACCTTTCCAAAGAAATGTTTAAAATGCAGATATTAGGGAGCTCTGGTGGCCTAGTGGCAAGAAGCTGCACTGCCATCCCAGAGGTACAAGGTTCGAATCCACCAGATGCTCTCCTGGAGCAGGAGAGACAATCTCCTCCTGTAACAGTCAGATCTAATTTGACGGTACACACACACAAAATAATAAAAACTTTTTTTAAAAAATGCAGATATTGACTAACTCTAGTTCATCAGTAATAAAAACTGAAGGATGAGGGAGCTCTGGTGGCCTAGTGGCAAGAAGCTGTACTGCAATCCCAGAGGTATGTGGTTTAAATCCACCAGATGCTCTGCTGGAGAAGGAGGGACAATCTCCTCCTGTACCAGTCAGATCTGATTTGATGGTACACACAAAAAATAATAATAAAATAAAAAAGTAAAATAATAAAAAGAAAACAAACTGAAGGATGGTGGTATGCTCTAAAGTCTATATAACCATAATATGCAGCATGAACTCCCTCTTAAGCTGCATGAAGAAAAGAACCCTTGGAAAAAGAGCCTGCTTTTATATTACCACCTGCCCAGTTCTCAGCTCCGTATCAAGGGTATGTCGTTCCTTAACACAGGCAGGTAAATGGTATGGATGCCAAAGAGCTGGCTCTGCTGGGGGAGAAAGAATCCCACAGGAATAGAAGAGTTCTCTTCTTCTCAAACCCACAGGAGTTTAGAGATGTGGGGAGGTGAAAGGTCATGTGGGTGAAGCCTGAGCTGGGTAGTAGGGTAGGCTGGATTATTTCCTTCCAGAGCAGGAGGAAACTGGTTGAGATCATCTCATATGACGACACTGTTCTCAGGATAAGGACACAGGCCTAAGATCACATCACACACACAGCAGATTGCAGAGGCCGAGCCAAGCGGGAGCTGGAGGAAGGCTTCCACCTGTCACAGTGAGGACTGGTCACCCCAACAGGAGAAAGGGAGAAGGGGCACCTGTCCACCCAGCTGTCACGTGGGCTGGGCTGTGACGGAGGAAACAGAAGGAAAGCAGTGTGGCCCGTGCTCACACAGGCTGGAAGAGCGCGCATCAAGCCTGCAGGTGGGGAGGGTCTTGGGAGGACACTGCCAGCAGGAGTACAGATCTGGGCGGCCTGCAGACAGGCACCACTTGCCAATACCTCTGAAGCTCCTGGCCAGGGGTCCGGTGAGGTGGGAGCGTTCAGGCGGAAGGACCAAGGAGCGCAGCTGCAGCAATTTTGGGACGTTAAGTGATTATGGTTGGTTTGTCATGCAGCTAGAACATGTGGGTGGAAAATGGCCCATGTACGAATTCAAAACTGGCAAGTCCCATGCCACCTGGACTAAGGGAACTGAATTAACAAACAACAGAAGTTGGAGAGACAACAGTGTAGGAGAACCTGCGATGGGCTGACTGTGAGCTTGGGGACAGGACTCTTCACTTACATGGAGAATTCCTTTTCTAGAGCTAAAAAGGAAAGGATTCAAATTTTCAAGAAATATTCTAGCAGGAGCCAAACTTATGGTGAAAAGTTCAAAACAACTTCTGCTAGAACTCCTCTTGAGTGTTAACTTCAAAGCAAAGGGTGGTCTAGTGGGTAAGGAATTATTACGCTGCCACCTCAAAGGCAGGTTGTTTGAGTCGACCAGGTTCTCTGCAGCTAAAAGAAAAAGAAATATGAGTAATCTCTTTCTGTGTGACTGACAGCCTCTGCAGAGTAAGCTAAGAAGTGGTTCGGACCCGCCGGCAGTGAATGTGTCAATGTTACCTCCACCACCTGGGAATGTTCTCCAAGATACCCAGCCCTCAAAGGGAGGGTCACGAAGACCACACTCCATGTGTCCATGCACTTGAATCTTTTACATGAAAGGAGTCTTAGAGTTAACTCTATAATGAGCTTTTTTAAGAAAGACATTTTATAAGAGAATGGAACCTAAACCAAACCACTGCTATTGTTCAAACTCCTAACAAGTCCCAAGGACAGAGTTCGGCTGCTCTCTCAGGCCTGCAGGATGGGAGGGAGTCTTTCCAGAAGGAGCCTGCCACATCCTTCTCCTGGGCAGTGGGTGGGTTCCAACCGCTGACTCTTCCGTTAGTAGCAGGGCATTTAAGCACTGTGCTACCAGGGCTTCTGGCATGTAATCTGGTTAAGAGAAAAAGGTGGAGTCTAGGGACAGAAACCTAAGCTGGCCTGTCAACATGGTGGAGAAGCACCAGCAACCACACATACTAGAATCAAATAGTCACACCGTCTAGTCTGAAAAACAGAGGAGGCTTCAATCTCAAAAGCAAAACTAAAGCCAGCTCTACCTAGGATTAGGACTGGGCGGGCATCCATAATTTTAAAGTAAGTTATGTACTCAGAGCACAAAATTGTAATATCAGGTTACGCGCACAACAGAGAATTTTTTAAGGGTCAAAGAAACGAAGTATTGGCGATTACATACAGTTCAGTTAATACTGATGATTTATTGGGTTTTCCTTAGCTGGAAACTAGCTAACAGTCAACTTACCTGTGTAAACAGACAAAGAAAGGGAGGTAGGGGAACACTGAAGATGAGTTGAAGCTAGGCTGCACCTCAAAGGAGAGGAGGGGGCTCCTGGGCCACAAGACACCCACGCCTAGTTCTGGCTGGGGTGAAGATACCCAGCAAAGGAACTACACAGGATCCTGAGAACTTTTCCTCGCCCCACTCACCCCACTGTGTCTAGTTACCTGCTGTTTCAGTTGAACTTCTTGCTGTTTCATTTGCTCATATTTGTGCCTCGATTCCGTTGCTTCTTTTAATAACTAGAAAACAGAAACATCCTGGCAAAATGCTAATAGTAATTACAAATCTGACAACTATGTCAAATGACCCAGCTCCCACTGTTCTAGCAATGTATGGATGAAAAAACCGGGGACACCAAACTGCTAGTCACGTAGCTCTTTGACCTGCTCCACTTGGTAACACAGGAATTATCTTTTATGGCTTCAAAATGACAAAGTACCCTGTGGACGGTCTCAAAACTCAAGGTTAAGTAGTTACATGTGTACTTTTGTTGCAGAAAATACAAGTGGGAGTGCTGACATCATCTAGATGATTGACAAGATGGGCCAGTCCGGGTGTGTGTGTGTGTGTGGGGGGGTGTAATGGTTTCTTCAGGTGAGCCCTAGGGGCCTTGAAAAGACAGTCCAGGGTTGGGGTGTGGGATGTGTGTGTGTAATTCTTCAGTTGAGCCCTAGGGGTTGTCC